TTTCAAGCATAAGACATAAATAGACATAACACCTTTTTACGGTATCAGTAATAAACACTCCAGAGATGACAGCAATTCTCAGCTTTAAATTGTGTGAATAGCTTGCTCTGAGTTCAGACAGATTGGTCCAAGCCAATCTCTAATTTTCCAACAACAGTAACTGTTAATGGCCAGATCTCTATTTTTCTGATGTGCATCCATAAAAAGCAAATGATATGATTGCTGACAGTAAGCCAGAAATGTGCTATTCCGTTACCAAAAACCTGGTCAAGCTTCCTCTCATTGCAAAGATTCTGCCACTGAGCTGCTAGAGGCTGCAGGTGGACACAGGATTTATCACGTCTTACAAACTGCAAGAATTAAAGGCAAGTGGTTCCACACGGGTCATGAGGACTCCAGACAAAAGTATGGGAAGGAGGGAAAATGGAGGGTGAGCCCTGTGAGTTAGGCTCTGCATCATACCTATGCTATTTTTACTCCAGAAAAGACAAACAATGCTATTTATTTATTCTTCCGGAATCTGCAGGCTCCAATTTAATTAACTTTATCAAACACCATGAACCTTCCCTCATTCTCATGTCTATCTCAGAGACACACAGAGATGAACACATTAATTAACAAGAGCTTCTCAGATTTCAGCAAAACATCCCAACTTGTCAGGCAGCGAGCACGAGCTCACAGACAGGCAGGTTGCACAGCTTCTTAATTGCAGAACTGCTCCGGGAAGGGGGATGAAGCCTCAAACACACCGATTTGAAGGCACAAACATCTACCACTGTACAAATGCCTTAAAACAATATATACAATCCGCTTATCACCAATTCATGTAAGATTGATTTAGAATAAGGAATTGTTCTGATTCCTGCATAGATAACCTTCCTTTCAAATTTTTCATGTATGAATTTGACATTTGTAAATGATTTTCTTTGGTTTAGCACAGATACTTTCCAATTAAACTCTTTACATTTTGTAGGATACTATTATGTTAACAGTGCATTTGGTTTAAAATGATTTTCTTGGCAACCCTTCTGACTTGCAGGTGCTCCTAGCAGACCCTGTGCTAACCCTTACCCCAAACCACTGTGTCTTCTCAGCAGTGCAAAGTTCTTCAATTTTCCTATTATCTGAGGCTACCAGTTTTCACAAACAGTTTTTGTGTAGCTGGCAAAGTAACCCTTGGAAACTTGACATCTATTAAGAAAAAAACAAACACCCTACACAGACCCAGCGACTGGCCTTTAGACATTATATTGTTTATTGCAGAAAGCAGTTTTTTTTTTTCTGTTATATTGCATTCATCTGAGGAAGCTCAGTCTCATGATTTCATAGTGAGAATTGTGCTTGATGACTGTTGACTGCCACTGAATATTTATTTTAAACAGAGCTCTTCACCCAGTAAGACTCTGCAAGGGTCAAATTAAAATAGCAACCTTTGTTTTTTCACTTACATAATATTCAAAGATTTCTTTGTCTTAAGCAGCTTTGACAGCTGAAACGTACTCGAGTGGAAGTGGAGTACTCAGGATGCTGTGGGTGTTGTAAGGGATGTGCAAACACATCAGACACGACATACAAGTTCCAAAGAACAGCAAATCCCTACCCACAACGGGTATACAAAAATAAAGACATAGAAAGTCTCATTACCCCCGTTTTACTACGAGGAAATTGGGTTGGCTGGTATAAGAAAGACACTGCTATGCATCATTTGAAAGATATCACCATATAGGACAGGCTTTGGGCAATATTTAGTTGTCTAAATTTCTACTGCATCTTTATATTTGTCACAGAGATTAAATGATTTATCTAGATAAAGTGACACCTATTAGCAGCTAGCACAGGTTATTTCCATGACAGCAGCTTAATCTTCCTCTACAAAGCAAATGTTTGATACCAGCTCCCTAGATACTGTTTCTACTGTGGAAAAAATAAGACTTGAGGCAGATAAGAAGATATAGTTAGGGAAATATCTCTGGCAAGGAATTCATTTACCATCCTGGACCTCTCATGACCATAAAGCAAATGGGTATGGAGAGATTCTTAATATCACATGTGGACTGGAAAACAATAGGATAGCGCAGGCAAAAAAAAAACCCTCTTATTCCATGAGTGGTTGAGTAACTATCTCATATCTACTTGTGCATATTAGGAAAACTGAGTGAGGTGAGCAAGATATTGACATAAACTTATTTAAAATTGCGTCCTCCAAAAAAGTCAGCAAGTCAAAAGCTTTGCCAAGAATGACTTCAAAGAAAGTTCTGAGAACTCTGTATTTACCAGCATTTGTTAAAATAAATATTTGGAAGTTTTCTTTAATGGCGTTTAGTTTTAATTAGAATTCTGATTTTGAAAACATTCAACTTTCTTCTAGAGTCAACAAAAAACTCCAAAATGTCTGTTAAGGCACCAGTCTTTTTTTTTTTTTTTTTTTTTTTTTCTCTGCTTGAAAATTTAATTAGGTTGTATCAGATTTTTGAAAGTTTCTGGTCTAAAATTTAGATAAGCCTAAGATTTTATTGGAAGTGCAATGAAGACAACATTTACTTCAAAGTCAGTACTTGGAACGAGGCAGGGTCTATATAACTACTGAAGGGGAAAAAGGTTATTAAACACCATGCAAGGTTTGAGAACGAACTCTGATACGCCATCTTAACTTCATTTATATTACCTATGTAAAAAGTGTCACTTTTTTTCTGTTTCTAATGAAACGCAACACTATCTTTTGACACACTACAAAGCTCCCAGCACTGCTTCCCACACTTCTGCTGCAGCCTTTGAGAGAAGCAGTCTTGTTCCCAAGCCCTCCCTTAGCCCCCTTACTATCTGCTAGCTGCATGTTCCATGCAAGGACCCTGATGTAGTAACTCTCAGCTCCACCAGGGTTAGAATTTCCTCTTTCCAACTCAGCTACTTCTCCTTCAGGCCCGCTTCACGTCTTGTCTTCTCTTGCATATCTACGGGCTTCCCATCACAAAATGCAATACACAGGAGAACTGCTTAAAATGTATCAGCTCTGTCTGCTTGTACTCACGATGGTGCTGCTGAATGCCACTTGAGATTGGTTGCTGTCACGACGACCAAGAGACTTCTGCCTTATGTGGCCTTGAAAGTGAGCCCTAGCACTCTGGGACCTCCTTAAAGGTCTTACTGTCCCCTGTTTGTAAGTGCCTGGTCGCTCAATGTTGGGAGGAAGAGTGAAGTTTGCAAAGTCCTCATCATCTAAATCCAACTCCTTGTGGGCTTCCAGACGTCTGGCTGCAAAGAGAGAAAAATGAAATTTTACCCCTCATTTTACTCATGAGGAATTCCTCGGTTAGTTAGGAAAAGATGAAACAAACAATGAGCAAAATACAAGACTGAGCAAAACGAAAACAATTCAAAAAGCAACATCAAAAAACTTTGCTATTGACTTCAGTTTCTGACAAATCCCACTCTGAAATGTTTATGATCGCAAGAAAATAAAAATATATTTTCAAAGCGATCACTTTTATGGACTTCTTATAATGCTCAGGCTATTAAGCTGCATTTTGCAGTTGACTGGAATAAGAGAGTGAAATATGGTAATTCAGAGCGTTGTTAATGTTTTCAGTCACAGAGCACAAACATTTCTTTGGCAGCTGCTTGTCAGCTTAAAAAACCCTTAGAACTATGTAGAGAAAATAACAAGCAACAATGGGCCGGAGTCAAAAACACAAATTCAAAAAGCCCCAAATACGGACTGCAGCTAGGGTCTACTCTAGAAAACACACAATTGCAATCTTTCATATCACACAGAAGACTTTATGGTAATTACTTTTGGACCCACTGAGTTTAATTGCTAACTAATCTCAGTTTGTGAGCCTGTAAAAGGTTGTCTGGCACTAACTACCTGCAGAAATGAACGATAAAATCTTCCCTTTGCAGTCTCAAATGGGTATTCAGAGCAGCACAAGAGATGTCTGCACTGGGAACATGAGATCTTCACACTTGGCTTCAGAATCACTGAAAACTCCTTCACTTTGGAGAAGCTCCACAATAGGAGTCCCTCACAAAAAGGAAGCATCAAAGCTCTACTTGCAGTCAATCATTGGAAGGCTCAGTAGTTTTAAACGTTAATATTTCCATTGATAATGTTTAGTAGTTCAGAGAGAAAAAACAAGCATAACACATCTCTCACCATTTTCCTGATGTGAAAACTCATTTCCATCAACAGTACAGCGTCGGAATACCATTTTGTTTTCTGTTAGTGTCCCAGTTTTGTCTGAGAAGATATACTGGATTTGCCCGAGATCTTCAGTAATATTTAAAGCTCGACACTGTATGGGCAAATCTGCTTCTTCATCATACAGGTCAATGTCATTGTGAAGTAAAAAGACTTGGCCCAACTTGACTAACTCAATGGACACATAGAGAGAGATGGGGATTAAAACCTGAAAGAAATTAAATTCTCATTGAGGGTAAAACAAGCCTTACTGCATCCTCTCAGCAAAATCCTGTCACAGATGTACCAACACTTTCCAGAAAAAGCAGATAAGCAGTTTTCTCCAAAGACATACAGTAAAACTGAAAAACAGATCATAAATTAAAGAAAGCCATCATAGAACAGCAATGGATAAACAGGGTCAGTAAATGACAAATTTAAGACAAGGTGCCTGGAGCTCTATATGCAAAAATCTTGGATCTTTCAGAGGATGCTCTTACAAAGCACATCTTCTAACCTGAGATGCATCCTGAAAAGGATGGACTAGCATATATGGCAACTCTTACATAAAAAAGAAAAAGTTACACAAGCAATTCCCATGCATTAAAAACTTCCTTCAGACTCCTCCTCCTCCTAATTTAGCTTATTTCCCAAATCAGTACAACCATACCTAGTTATTATTCCCCATTAGCAAAAATGACAATAATTTTTGTTTCACTGTTTTCCTGAGACCCTGACAGTCCTATTTTCAGAATGACAGATGCAGGCAGGAAAAAAAGTTGACATTTGGATGTAAATATCTGCCTTAGCGTGTATGTCAGAAATTTGCAGCTATTTAACAATATAATACATATCTTTCCTACCTATATCCTAGTGGTGTTCAACAATAATAAAGAAAAATCTGTAGTTGAAAAGAAAGCAAAAACAAACAAACAGAAAGGCACTACTTCACATTTGGATGTTTTGAAACTCTTCTAGCAATAGGATTAATAAGGTTTCAGATAGCTAATAGGTATTACTTAATTTGCTATTAATTGCTTATTAACAACATACACAGTTTTAAATAACGTCTTCCTTGAAGTTAATAGAGATTTTTGGGGGCTTTTACCTGCAACAGAATTATCATAGTCAAGAACATGTAGAGACCAGCAACAACTGGAGACAAATAATTGCCATTCTCATCTGGGACATCGAAAGGGGGATGCTCCGAGAACGTCCCACTCCAAATGCCATGGCCTGTATGAATGACACACAAGATTGAAATAAACTGAGCAGGAAGGTGACTGGAGAAAGTAGCTGAAATTTGCAGATGTCTGCAGATCCAATCCTGATAAAACTTCTATTAGTGCCAATTAAACGAGAAGTTGTTTTGCAGCATCTGCCTACTTAAATGCTGCTAAAGGAATTCAAAATATTTCAGGAACATGTTCTGATTGCCAGAAACCTCTGTGACATCTGAACAAGGACAACTATTGTTCGACAGAGGTCTATCAAAGGACCAATTACAACCATGGTTTAGAAAAAAGCACCAAAGCAGAAAAAGTTTTTACTAATGCCATACCTACTGCTCCGACAAGACACATTGCAAACAGAAGTCCCACACAGAAGAAAATATCCATATTCATCCGTCGCTCTATCTTGCTGCGTTTGTAACGAGGACCATTGTTATTGAGCATGGCCTTTGTTTCATGACCTTAAAAACACAAACACATGTTTGTTAATGTACTATTTTCTAGGTTTTTCTTTAAAGTATTTCTCTTATAAAATGAAAGAAGGATGTACATGAATAACATTAACTTGATTCTAATTTCATTAAGTAATTTTATTGCCCATCTTCTCAGTTTGACAGAATATCAGCGCATGAAAGTATGCATGCACGTATGTATAGATAAAATGCACGCATTTATGTACAAATCTTCATCAACATTGCAACAGGTTTAATATGCAGTTTTGATGAAATTATGCATCTCATTAGTCTTACTTTCCTTATTATATAGAAAAAAAGCTTAAGATTTAGTTTGGAGGGTAACAAAATACCTCCAATCACACTGCAGATTTGAGCTGTCACATATTTTACTCCTCCAGGGACAACAGGTTCAGAAGCACTGCAAGATTTGTATCAACATTCAAATCTCTTAGGAACCATAAGCATGTATGTGCTTCTAAATAAAAGCTAAATCTCCTTGAGATGAAAAGGAAGAACAGCAATATTATATTTATGCATTTTGCAAAGAGCTTGATTAGGTTCTGTACTAGTTCTTGAAATGCGCATTTGAATATTTTCTTCAGTTATTTGGAAAGTGTATTAACTTAAAGCCCAACATGTCAGAGCAGCGAAAGATACTCTTATCATTTAGCTTTTCACTATGTGGATGTAAAGTACTAATAAATCAGTACGTAAATAAAATAACCCAAATCTATAACACATTGAATTAGAATTGAGCATGTATATTTGAAAGGGGAAAAAAAAAGGACTGCTGTAAGAAGCCTACAAGCAAATAATGCTCTTTCTAATCTATTAATATTATCAAATCTGTCTCATCGCAATTATGATATGCGAATATCATCTATTGCTATATTAAATAGGATCTTTTATGTTCATTCCTACGGCAACTTTCTCTGAAAACAGAGTTTGCAAATTTATATTATTATTTTGTTTTGGTATGTGCATGTGTATGAGAGGGACTGTTTTCCAGTCTATCTTTTGACTTTCTATAGGAAAGGGATTTGAACCAGAGTCCTCTATTACCAAGCTGCAAGGTAGGTCTAATGCAATCCCTCTTATTGGATTCATTCCAATTTTGTATCAAAGGTTATTAATTAAGGCAGAGAGCGTGAGAGAAAAATCACTCTCCATCCTTATGTTCACCCAAGAGCTGGAACTCTTGGCTTCCTGTTGCAATGAATAGGAAATTATTTGCACAACCTGGAGCTGGTCAGTGGGACCAACTATTACCAAAAACACCCTTTTCTGGCTCAGGTATGTACATGCTTGCTCCACACAGCCAGTAATTGAGGCTGTGAAGCAGGCGATACAGAGCTGAGAACACAAACTGTGTCTTCCCTAGGGTGAACAAACGCTGTAGCCGCGGAGCTGCCAAGGAGAGGGGAGTGCTGCTCCTCCAGCAGCTGCGGGAATCTTGTTCCACGCTCTTCTTTTATCTCACACTGACTGCACCGCTGTTTTTTAAAAATTAAACAAACAAAAATCTCTCCTCCTCTCCCTATTGAGGACACGTTGATGGATTTATTTCAGCAAGAGTATAGAAAGGGGTTTCTTCCCAAATTTCAGCTCTATCATCCTTTCCCACTTCAGCTGATCACCAAGTTGTGTTTTCTACGCAACTCTAACACATACATCAGCTTGCAATAGATGAAATATCAAAGATGAGAGGAATAAGCTAACTTTTCACCTTGAATACTCACAGTTTCCTATGCTATGCAACACAGCACCTCACCACCCCCCTGGAACTTTGTTTCTCCATTTCTGGATGCTGATAAGCTCACATAAACAACATTTTTCTTCTGGTATTTTATTATCTGAAAGGCACATATTTCTTGCCACTACCCCTACCTCAGTATGAGTAAAGTACGTTGGCTGTTGCTCTATAAAAAGGTTTCTGTGCATTAGCACTATTGGTTTGCGTAGAACCATTTGATTACCCATGAAAAGTAAAGCCATATTTGAGTCAGATGAGAACTGCACAGGCTAAGCAATCACATTAAGTGATGTCTCTGGGCTTCACAAAGGCTTCCATTAGAAAGTAAGCTTGAAGAGTAATAGAGTTATAAAAATGGAGAATGTGCCATTTTATGTGACTGATCTTGGCTGCTCAGAAAAGGTCATAGATCATGATTAAAAGGCAGAGTATCATCAGTGTCAAAGAACCCTAGAAATGAAGGTAGTAATGGCTCAGATGAATCTAATTTTAGGAAAAGAAAAGAATAAACTACTATGCTGACATCAACAATTACATGTCAGTTGAAAAAGTGTAATGAAGACATACTCAGATCACAGACATCACAGCTTGAGAATGACTCTAAAACTGCAGCCTTCACAACTAGCAGAGACACAAAATAGAATCTGTGCTGGTAGTCAGAGGAACAAACTGGGAAACAGCTTGAATAAAGAGAATAAAAATTGGAATCCTAACAAGAGATGGGAAGATGAATTTACTCCAATTCCATACAGAATAGTTGCCACAAAGATTTTTATATAGTAACTACTTCCAAAGACAGAGTGGTGGGTTTGGAATACCGCTGCCTGTCTCCCAACTGGTGTCTGGTAGGCACCACCACAGCACGCCACGTGTCATGGTCGCATGGACATGCTACACACCAGCATGAATCTGTGCTGCTGCCACTGAAAGATTCAGTCCTGACTCTTCGGTCTCCTCCAGCTGACTGTTCTCCCTGCACACCTTGTGCTGACACTAGCACTTCTGGGCTTTGTGATAAGAAATAGCCATTTTTGTCTGGCTGAATTTTCAGCTGGATGAGTTGCTGCTTTGAGAAGACGGCAGTATCCCCCCTTAGGGCAGCAGTGCAGATTTTATGCCAGGTGAAATTAGCATTATAGTCACAACCTCCAATCTGAGAGGCAGAAGAAACTCATCCTGCTATTTTTTGACATGTCTGGATAATTTTGCCTAAGCGTAGCAAGTCACATGACATACACAAGGATATCACCACTTGCTAGAGAGCCAGAGTATCATTTTTTGGCTTGGAGATAGATGATTAATGCCTTGACTTTACCAAGTTATTAATTTTTCCATGTACTACCAGTTCTTAAACTATTAAATTATGGTGCAGTGTTAGACTACACATATTTATTTAAGGATATTTAAAGAGAAATCCTGTGCTTAACTAGATAAAGAGTTCACCTTACCTGCATATACTACGATTCCTATTGCAACCTCAGTGTTTCTGATTGTACATCCACGAAGCAAAAGGCTTTCAATGCTAAAACCAATCCGTTCATGATTTGGCTGTTCCCTAGAAGACAGACAATAAAATAAAGCAATGTCCTTTTCTATTCTCATATAGTATTAAACAAAACTTGCTTATTCAAGCTAAAATCAAGAAATTGTGAGGGCTTTGTTTTGCTTGTATTTTGTGCTGCTTATCTTTAATAAAGACTCTGCTCAGAAGACATACAGAAGTCTAGGTGTCTCTTTTAAAGCTCGCTTTCATGGGGTATGTATTTGCAGTGTCCATATGAAGAGATTCTGGCTTGGTACCTTACCTGGCAGATTTAGTATTTAATAAATGAAGCCAATATTTATAGTGCAAATTAAGGAGAATGAAATTCTAGAAAGCTCAGCAGGGTTTACCAAACTCAGATTAACTTAATATTTGCCTTCTGTGCAATCTCTGTATTGGACACTAGGGGGTTCTTAGCTTTGCAAACCCAATTCATGAGACCCTAGACTAAGGGTTTCTTCACTCAC